AAGAAACAATTCGACACAATAAAGAGATGGAAAAAATTAGATCACAAGGTTCTGGCTTGAAAAAAAAAAAAAAATATTGAAAAAAAAATTGAAAAAATGAATAAATTTGAAATAACAACATTTAGAAATAATATTGAAAAATTTGAAGGTATTTATACACGGTTTTGGATTAAAAAAAATAATATAAAAATTGATCCATTGAGTAATATAGATATAAATTATTTTGGAAATAAAATAAAAAATTATAGAGGGTGTTTTATGTTAAATGAATTACCTACAACACCATGGGAAAATGAATGTGGAGTATTTAATTTAAATGATTCTACTCAAAATGGTTCTCATTGGGTTGCATGGAAAAAAATAAACAATACATTTAAAATATATTTTGACCCATTTGGTCATATAGTTGGTGAGCCACCAAAAGAACTTTTAAAATATTTGGGTAAAGATAATCTTTTTTGTACTGTTTCCCAATTTCAATACTATAATGATCCACCTATATGTGGTCATTTATGTTTAGAATTTATTGAAAATTATAAAAAATTTATTTAAATATTTTATTTTTTTAATAGAAATATTTCTATTAAAAATAACAACTTGTTTAATATATATTTAACAACGAGTAAACGAGTAAACGAGTAAACGAGTCGTTGTTTTTTTTACGTTAACGAGTAAACGAGTAAACGAGTCGTTGTTTTTTTACGTTAACTAGTAAACGAGTAAACGAGTCGTTGTTTTTTTTACGTTAACGAGTAAACGAGTAAACGAGTCGTTGTTTTTTTACGTTAACGAGTAAACGAGTCGTTGTTTTTTTACGTTAACGAGTAAACGAGTAAACGAGTCGTTGTTTTTTTATGTTAACGTTGTTTTTTAACAACTCGTTGTTTTAATAATTCGATGTTAAAAAAAAATATATTTACTAATATAAATAATAGAAATGGAAAATTGTAAAAAACTTTTAGAAATGGAAAATTGTAAAAATCATTTAGATATGATCCAAAAGTATAAAAATATACTAAAAGAGTTATCAGAAATTGAATCATCTATGTATAGTTTAGAAACTCATGTATCATCTTTATATCAATCTTATGATAATAAGTATAGTTACAATCGTTACAAAAACAATTTTAAGAAATTATTTGATTATTTTAAGAAAATTCATAATGAATTATCGAATCATATAATGAATAATTGGTTTGAAATTTAATGTTCACTAGTTTGTTGTTAGACTTTTTTTTTTAATAGAACAATTCTATTAAAAAATATTTTTTAATACACTATATTACATTTCGATTTTAATTATTAATATCATAAGTATTATGAAAAATATTTTGGGTGTATTTAATAAGTTTTACGAAAAATGTTTTTATTATTATTGCATTTTGATTTTTATTTTTAATAATTAAGTTTTGCGGAAAATATTTTTATTATTATTGCATTTCATAAGTTTTGTGAAAAATGTTTTTATTATTATTGCATTTCATAAGTTTTGCGAAAAATTTTTTTAATTATTATTGCATTTCAATTTTCTGATCTTTTTGCACATTGTTTTCTTTGTGATCTTTTACTGATATATTATGAGGTGCGCCAGGACTGGTACATATATACTACTTATGTATATAGGGAATAGGGATTAACAAAGTATAAAGCTAGGGCGCTCTTAATGGGGCTAGAGGGATTATGCTCTCTCCCCACCAAAAAAAAAGTGGTTACGCGAATCGGGTATAAAAAAAGGGCGAAAAACGCTAGAAAACGGTCGAAATCGTGTGAAAAGAGTAAATTTTGAATTTTTGAAAATTTCAAAAATCGACGAAATGATAAGAAAAGAAGTAATAACGCGGCCGCGGCGACGGAATTTTCTCATTGGCGTTCCTTATTTGCTGCGTCGCGCCTGTCGGAGAAAACAGGAGACTATAATATAAGAGAAGAGAAGAGAAGATATAGAAATCTGTGGTAGTGTGGTGGGACGCATGTTATTTTCCAGAAAAAAAACGGCCAGAATGTAGATTTGTCGAATGTTAAATAACAGAAAATAATATTACAGAATTGAAAACAACCAGAATATAAAAAGCCCAGAACATATTTGAACAGAAAATAAAATGAACGAAAATAAATACTACAGAATGTAAACTGATAAGAATTATTATCAGTAGAAATACAGAAATACAGAAATTGATATTGCAGAAATTCGAAAAGTGTATAATTCCAGAATGGAATATAACAGAACACAGTTTTACAGAACGTTATGATGCATAAAAAATGTTTGCATAAAATATTTTCTTGGAAAATATTTTAACTGAAAATTATATATTAGAAAATATATTTCCAGAAGTACATCTATTGAAATTTTTTAGTCGTTAATTAAAAATTAAAATTCGTGGGTACAAAATATAATTTTTTTACGTATGTCTGTTATTACATTAATGACAGCTGCTAATAGTAAGTATAAACTAGTGTCTAGTACACAGATATTAATAAATAATCATTCTTATTGAAATCAACATATCCGCGTTAGAAGAAAAAAAAGTTATTTTAAAAACCTACAGTTATACTGTTATAGTTATATTTTGTGTGTGATATAATTGTATTTAGGACGTACCTGGTACCTAACCTTTTTAGTTTTTTTATACCATTCATAATTATATTAATCAACTATCAACCCATACCTAATTATAATTTAATATTTATTATTTTGTGGGAAATAGTAATTTATCACTCGTGTTAATATAATATTTTACATTTTTGAAAGACAATAAACAAGTTACGGCTAAAGTATTAAACCATTCATAATGAATAATAATAACAATTTCTGAAAAACTCTGCTAGGCGCAAACACTCAAAAATCTAATAAATATTAAATCATAATATTGTCAATAACCAATAGGATAATAATTGGTAGTCACATTTTTTTTTTTTTCAATATAAAATAGTTAAAGACATGCTCATCCTGGGTAAATAGACTGTAGGTATAACTGTATAAGGTCTATCGTATATTGTACCTACATAAATTGTATAATATTTGTATGCAGCCTCGCTACTTGCTATGGAGGGGGGGTGCTGCCACGAATTAAGATCTAGGTATATATCTTAATTCGTGGGGGTGCCACAGATTTCTATATATTGTAATTTGTAGTATTTATAGAAGTCTGTACACGGCCGTCGCAGTGTCGCACGTTTGTTATCATTTGCTCGTAAAATATTAATTACGTATATCTGTGAATATGATAAAATTATTGTTTTAGCACGGTCTTTGAAGATATTAGCTATTGTTTTAGTTTGTTCATTGTAGACTGTTGTTCGATTTAAAGAAAACAAATATTTTGTTATGTGTTTAGAGTAATAGTGTATTTACTATTTAATATTTTTTCAGCTGCATGTAAAATGTCAAAACCGCCTCTGCAGTGAGTTTGGCTTAAGAAAAGAATAAGTATTACCTTAAGAATTGCTTTTAAATATTATCATTTTTATTTTTTAAATTATCAAAATTAGGGAACTTTTCTACTTTACCGGACACCCTTTTTTTTGCAATTTTTTTTTTTTAAACTAATGTAGTTAAGCACGCTGAAAACGATGGTGAAGTCCAAATTTGGCGCACGGACTTAGTTTTGAAGTTATAGCCTTTTGAAGTTCGCTATTTTGCGATTTCCATGCATTTGCGCAACACTATACTTTACCGCGCCTATTACGAATATTAATATTTTTTTTTTTCGATAAGTGCCGTAAAACTTGTAATCACTGCTTATAAGTAGGAAATCTAGGGCAAAATTATTTATTATCAGGAGGATTGGACCACGACTGTTACCGCACGACGACAAGTTGAATTTTTTTCAACTTTCTGGTAACGCCTGGTAACATGGTATATTAATTAGGTAACCACAATATTCAGCCAATCAAAACACTGTAATTTTAGGACGACGTCCTAAATTATGGACGACACGATACAGTGTAAAGGCACCTTAAACAGTTTACTAGAGGTTAGCGCCGGTTACACACCTATTCTTTACTGGCGCGAAAACATTAAATTTCATTTTAAATATTCTATACTATGGAGAAACATATAAATTTGTTTGATTTAATGGAATGGTCAAGCCTGAACGATGGCTTAGGTTTGATTGTCAAATTACAGTCATTTGGTATATTGCCAAATGAACAAAATTGTATACGAGGACATCCGATGAGATTGGTTAAAGATCAATCGTCAATCGATAAATACAAATGGATTTGTCGTGCAAAAATTAACAAAAAAGGAAAAAAATCATGCAATTATAGGTACCTAAATAGAAAATTACTAAAACTACTGGAACAAATCTAATTTCGCAGCCTCGCAAATTGTTCGGAAATCTATGTATTTCAACGAGTTAAAATTTACGTATATACCCGCGCCACAGTACTCCCGCGCGGGGTGGTATTTTTGTTTTACCGATTTCTTTTTTTTATATTATTATGGCTATTTTACGACTGTCTCATTATTACTAAATTGTATATTATTACTAATATGGGAACTTTTCTACTTAACCTCGATTTGGTATGCAACGCCTTCCGAAGTAGGCCACAGGTTTAAAAAAATGCATTTTTGTTGCACCGATTCACCGAGCGGGGTCACTCGCTTGCTGCGCTCGCTCGGACAATTAAAACGAAAATATCCCCCGATTTGCTGTGCAACACCTCCCCAAGTGGGCCACAGGTTTAAAAAAAATGCATTTTTGTTGGACCGATTCACCGAGCGGGGTCACTCGCTCGCTGCGCTCGCTCGGACAATTAAAACGAAAATATCCCCCGATTTGCTGTGCAACACCTCCCCAAGGGGGCCACAGTTTTAATCGGAAAATTCACGTGGCCGCTAAACTAGAATTATGCCAAATTACTAACTAACACTTAAAAATATTTACATTTATAGCATGTCACTCAGACACGAAACATTTTTTTACAAGTCCCATCTTACGCTATTAGAAATTTGTAGCTTTATTAATTTGTGGTCACTGCACTGTTCATTCCCGGTGATGAAAGTGCAATTGAGGTTCTCCAACCAAGTTTTAACTGATTGGTCGTCTTTTTGCCGAGAAGTAAGTTACGACGCGATGGTGGTACGGAAAGTAAAATTGGGCGGCTGTGGACGAACAGTTGAAATCGACGAATCGAAGTTTGGACGTCGAAAGCATCATCGGGGTCATAGAGTTGAGGGCCAATGGGTTTTTGGCGGTTATGAACGGGAAACAGGTAACTGTTTTATGATCCCCGTTGAAAACCGAACCGCCGAAACCCTTCTGGCCATTATAAAAGACTGGATAAAACCGGGAACAACCATTATATCCGATTGTTGGAGAGTAATATATTTGTCCAATATATTTTCGGAAATATAAATTAATTTACTATTTTATTTTAGGCCTACAATACCTTAAATAATGAAGGCTATCAGCACCTTACTGTAAATCATAGTCTGCATTTTAAGGACCCTGAGACAGGGGTCCACTCTAACACAATAGAGAGTTCGTGGAGGCATTCGAAGGCATCAATGTCTAATTACTGCCGTAAAAAAGCTTTTTACGCAGGCTATTTGGCGAAATTTATGTTTACCAAACACTGCCGTTCGCATAACCTAGACCCAACAGCTGAGTTTTTTAAACATGCGGGTATCCTTTATGATGCGAACAATAAGGATAATATGATATTTAACGACGGCGACTACGGTGACGACGATGATGACAGTGACGATGATGATGACGGGAACGATGACGGTGAAAAAGACGTAGACAACAACGACGACAAATAAATAATAATTATTAATTTAATATTTTGCTATAATGTGTAAAATACCTTAAAACTTTCACCCCTTCAATTATAATATATAAATATCAATATTCGTAGTAGGCGCGCGGTAAACTAGTGTTGCGCGAATGCGTGAAAATCGCAAAATAGTGAACTTCATTAGGCCATAACTTCAAAACTAAGTCCGTGCGCCAAATTTGGACTTCACCATCGTTTTCAGCGTGCTTAACTACATTAATTTCAAAAAAAAAAATTGCAAAAAAAAGGGTGTCCGGTAAAGTAGAAATATACCAAAATTAGCTTAAGCATCGATTATAATACAGCCCTAAGTTTTAATGTCTTGCATATGTGAAGTTGAAGTGTACCTGGTATATTAGGGTGCCTATAAATTATAATGTTCCATAATAGTAGGATACCTATGTTCAATGGGCTATGAATAAACCTATGACTTATTATGTAAGTACAATACGTTTGTTATTCTCTGCCTATAGGCTATAGGGTATACCTAGTATTTTTAATTTATTACAATCTATAACTGAGATTGATTTAAATTAGTTTAGACAAGTAACAGCAATGTTTATTTATTATTATTTTACTACTATATTGGGAGTCTATCAAAATCTTTATTATTATTTACATTTTTCGTACAGTTTTTACTTATGATAAAAGTAGTGCAATATTGTCCTTTTTTTTTTTTTTTTTCAGTTTTGAACCTACGGCGTCGCGGGAACTGCTTCCGCAATGCTTCCGCGACACCGCCATCGTTTATTTGATAAACAAATAATTATACATACGTGGGGGGTAGACGGGACACTTCCCCGATAAGTGCAATATTGTCCTAGAAAATTCAAATATGACCTTAAAAATTTAGGTAATTACAGACATACAGTATGTTCAAAAAATGCATCCGATTCCATAAAATAACATAATTTACATTATGGGTTTTAAAAAAATTGTTTGATATTATAACATCATGCATATATGAGTATATGACTCAATAAACTACTCTATAGAATAAAAAACATAATCAGCAAAGATAATATATTTAATATATTTTGTTAGGTTCTGTTTTCCATTTTTCCCTACATTTATTATTCCTACAAGTAACTATATACCTATTTATTCAAGTGATATTATATTATAGTTCTAAGAATATTATGATATTAATTTATTAATTTATTATAATTAGGTACTTAATACCTACACTGTGACAGTTGTGCGAAAGTGGTTTTGTTTATTTTATACGCCCAATTTCTACAGTTTGTAGCATATAACATTAGGTATAACATTTTGTTTAGGATAATTGTGTACAGATTCTAATATTATGTTTTATAACTTTATAAGTACATTTTATATTAGCATATTTTCCAATCAGTGGCGCAAATAATTTTCTTTTTACAGGGGGCAAACCTAGAAATTTACCGCCTGGCACCCTCTAACCAATATTAATCATTATGAGTTGTATGAGTTAAATAGTAAATTAATATTACATTTACAATATAATTATTAATTATAATATAACCTTAACCAATTACTAGAATTCTAACCTAACCTAGGTCGGTACACACAACTGTAGGTTTCCACAAAACCTCAGGAAGTGTTTTAAATTGGTGAACTTACGACTTTAGAGAACAAGTATCTTTGACTAAACTAGTAAATTATGTCTAGTGAATATTTGAATACTATTTAAGTTAACTGAAATATAATTAATAGTTATTGAAAATAACCTTTGTGTACAATAAGTACCTATCAAAATAAGAAACAAAAACATCTTGCATCATACTAACAAATTACCTCACCCTTTTATTATAATTGGTCTAATAACTTCTTTTCAAGACTTGTGTAAAAAAATGAGGAATATTTTCATTTTTGTGAATTAGTAAAATAATAATAATAATAGAACGCTAATTGTACTGGAGTTATTTTATTTAATTAATGAATGATGACTGTACATAGGTAAATGTATTTTTCTTGAGTTTAACTATTGAAAAAACACAAATTAATTAATAAACATCATTATAACAAATAAACAGTTAAATAATAATTCCTGCATACTTTTGTAGGTGACTGATGATGGTTCTACACATAGGGCACCCTGGATTTCCTTCCTCCATCCACCTCTCAATGCATCGCCTGCAAAACCTATGCTGGCAAGGCATTGTTTTAGTATTGCTTACTCTTATACAACAAATCACACATATCTCAAGAACTGAAAAATAAATATTTTGAAGAAAAAATTCTATACACCTTAATTTAATTTAATTTATCTTACTTTCTTCATTTTCATTTATCTGCAGATCCTGAGATGCAGATGCAGATCTGATATCCAGCTCTTGATCCTCATCTGACTCCACTCCTAAAAATATGAAGTATATATTACTAGTTGTTAAATTAGAAATAAAATATTGAATGAATTGTGTATGCCATTAATTAATATCAAATATATAAGTTAAATTTTTTTTATTCAAGAGATTTAAATTGTTTGCGTACCACCTATGAGCTTTATGTGAGATTCACCCATAGGTTGATAATCACTGGTGTAAGCCATAAAGTATTACAGTAATAGTGATAGAATTTTATAAGTGACAGGTATTAAATTGTATTTATTTAAATTAAATAATGTATTACTATTTATGTCTTCTGTATAGAACCAGGCCCAGGCTGCGGCTGTATCTAATGTCGGCGATCTAACTCGTCTTTGTCTGTGATCTAAATTTAATGGTTATTTACTAAATTTTTTGGTAAATTCAGATAGATAAAATATTAATGAAACTATTTGAACTTAAGTATTCATACTAAGATATATCAAAATAGTAGGTACTATTGTTCAAAACGTTCACTATTAAATAAAATAAGTTAAAAAGTTATTTTTAAGTAATATTAAGGTACATATTACCTGGACGATGATAAGGATGATCTCGTGTCTGTGGTCTTGCTGGAGGTGGTGTTACTGGTGTTGGTCTTCCTGCTGCTGCTTCTGGTTGCAGTCTTATTGGTACTGCAGATGCTGTTGGTCTTGTTGCTCCTGGTGGTCTTGCTGGTGGTGGTGGTCTTGCTACAGGTGGTAGATGAGGTCTTGCTGTTGCTGCTGCTGCTGCTGGTGGAGGTGGTGTTGGACTTCCTGCTGCTGCTTCTGGTTGCAGTCTTACTGGTACTGCAGCTGCTGTTGGTCTTGTTGTTGCTACAGGTGGTAGATGAGGTCTTGCTGCTGCTGCTGGAGAAGGTGGTGTTACTGGTGTTGGACTTCCTGCTGCTGCTTCTGGTTGCAGTCTTACTGGTACTGCAGCTAGTGTTAATCTTACTGGCGGTGTCTGCGGTCTTGCTGCTTCTAGTAGTGGTATTTCTTCATCTCCATTGGCGTACACTGCCCAACGTCTCTGTCTTTCCTCATAGGCAGAGGTTACATATGCCATTCTGTTCAAGAACTGCCACATTGTTATTAGCCCTAGTGAATATTCTTGACTAGTGTGCTGAATCCTTCTCAAATTTATTATACCGTTTGATGTTTGCCTCCTCGTTGGCCGTAAATTATTGGATAGTTGAGTTGTGGTAATGTGGTAGTTTTTACTTAAGTGACTAAGGTGATCTAAAAATTAATTTTAAAGAATAACCTTATATTATCTAAACACTATTAATTGTTATCAAAACAAAAAAATATGCTTACCTAAAAATACCCATAAATTTGGATGAACGACGTTGAACTTTAACCTTAAGGCGTTATGGAAACTTTCAACGGAGTTGTTGGTCCGCCTTGGTAACCCATTAACCGACAAGGCCTCCACTCCCACTCGTCTTAGCCAGAAGCTTAAAATAAAGTTATAATAGATAAGTAATAATAATAATAGAAATAATAAAAAAATCGAACTTGCTGAGATTTTTTCAATGTCCTTAGGTTAGCTTATTTAAATTTCTTAGTTAGATGATTTATTTCCAAAAAAATAGTACGCTACTCTATATTTTCCACTTAGAAGAAAATGTATGAATCATAAATATGTGTTAGTAAGTAACCATTATTGTACATAATATATATTATATACCTAGTAGGAATTAGGTAATTTTAAATTTTTAAATTTTATTCGTTTCTATAGTGATAAACAAAGCATTAGAAAATATCGATTAGAAAAATAAAATATCTTTACCCAGCCTAAAATCATATTTATGTTAAAAAATAAAATAAAGACCAATGAATGTAACAAAAGAAAGCTTAAAGCTCTTAGAAATAATTTAAAAAAAATGTTAACACTAAAGTTTTCTTACTTTTGATAGTACTCAAAAAAGTCAACCATCGGCACATTATGGTTGATTGCAAATATCTTCACCACATCAAATGCTCTTTGGATGTCAGCCGATGGAAGTAGTGGCAGAGCCAATAACATCCTCAAAGCTTTCATTGCATTTCCGTTACTATTGGTTAAATCCAAATATCCTCTCCTCTTCATATTTTTCCAAACGGCCTTTAACAAAATTAGGTATATAATAAAATATATAAATGTAGTTTTAATTAATTTTATAGCTAATAGTTCTATTAGTTGACTCACTTGGTTGTGGTGGAACCAACACCCGACAGTACGTGCGTTTGGAAAAAAAAATGAAAGTGTATCCCTAAGTGCCGTCTCAAAATCTGTTATAATGATACTAGGGTTTACACTAGCAAGAAGGTTTAATCTTAAAAAATTAAACACAGAGTTGTATAAATTTCTGGTTTTGCCTTCCATCAAGCAATAGACAATGGGTATAGACTAAACAGGTAAGAAATACATCAATATTATTAAATTGTATTATTATTAAAAAGTAATACAACTAGTCTAAACAATTTAGTCAAATTTGTAATTATTTTTTACTTTGCAGGTTACCTAGTGCATTTTGGTAATAAAATATTAGTTAAAAATTTAGTATTAAGTTATATTATGATCTTAAAATAACTTACATGGTTTCCAATTAAGCAATGTATACTCAACATTTGGTTTCCCATGTTTGAAGGGACTACTTTGAACGTTGCGTCCA